AAAGATGAATAAACCATCTCTCTCCAAATTTGATCGCGAAATTGATTTTTAAAAGTGAAAACCGTATTCTCTTTGTCCTATTTTCCTTCTGCCTACAAGGCTTCGTTTTCTGCAGAACTCCGCTTCAACCACCTTTTCTTGCTAGCTTGAGAGAGGAGAAAAGGTGGGGAGACAAGGAAAAATGAAATGGTTACAGAACCAAGTCGGTGCAAATAACTCGTTTAAGCCGGGATGCACATAATATTCGTAGCTAAAGCGAACTATGTGCTTACTACATCAGGCGATGATAACTAAAGGATTGTTTGCTATAAGTGGAACAGACGCTTAGCTCGGCTTTCCAGCGCAAGTCTGGCCTTCCACCACTATCACTGTGAAGAACTTTACTGATGTCTCTTTATCAGTTCCATTTGCTTCTCGAGCAGTTCCTTCCTTACAGAATAATTTGTTTTTGTGGGAAGTGTGGAACATGAGAAAGTAGCTGCATGCAAATTTTTTGGGTAATTCGGCATGTAAAACTGATAGATGAGTTTTTAGTAAAGAATAATATTAAACGGTGATTAAAGGTTAGGAGTTCTTCGACGTCGTCCCAAAGACGCCGCGATTTAGAAACGATTTTCTACTTTTCGCGTAACATATCGAAAGTGTTGAAAAATATCAAGGTGTTTGCCTGTTTGTAAGCATTGCATTCTCAGAACACATGGTGCCATTATGTCGTTTCGGGCTTTCACATATCCTGGTGCACAGTGGCAGCCAGGATTGCAAGTAGAAGAGCACACTGGCACCGAAGGCTGGCCACAGTATTCGGGACATAATGCACCACATGGATCCCAGTAAGCGTTCGGATCGGTACATGTGCAACGTGATTGCTGTGAGCCAACCAGAGCAAACAAAGCTGACCGGCAGCAGCGCTGAAATCGAAAAATTCACGTGCCATCGATACCCTATATCGCCGTAAACATGCTATTTTTTTCCAGTCTCAGCTTGCAAATAATAATAAGCTACTCAAATTAAGGATGGATGCTGGATCGTCGTTTAAGAGCTTGATCCTAAATGACCAAAGTGTGAAGAGTAAATCGTGCCTTAGCTTCTCTCAATAAAAAATTGCTGCTTCTTATTTTTTAAAAGTTTTTTCCCCAATCAATTTGATACTTGGTGTCGTTGGATCACATCGAGCATTCATTTGTTTATGTCTTAGAAGATGAATTTCCTTCAATTCGCTTCCTAAGGATCTTATTGACTATTAAATTCAGAAGTAACTACTCGACTTCTTCCAAAAAAAATACGACTCTATTAGGTGACTTATTGCTACTTGAATCCTTGATTCTTCTGTCACTTATTAATTCAAAACTCTCATGAGTAACCGATTTTTTTAATTCAGTTCAGGGTCCGTCAGGCTCTTCTCTCTAAACGATCTTCTACGAAGGACTTACCTGTTGTGTTGGACAGTCAGAATCAAAATTGCAAAATCTTCCGCTGAGATCAACCGTCGTTACAGGACATTCGGGAACATTGACTGAAAAACTTTTTTTTGGGGTTCTGAAAATCGAATGATATAAATAGTTCTATGCAAAAAATAGCAGTTTGCAAAACTAGATTAGTAGAAACTTGTTCGGTCATTTAGTAAAAAATATGAATAAATTTTTACCAATATTTTAACCTAGTTCGTAAAAACTGTTCTTAGCTCAGTTTTTTTTTTCAATTTTTTATAGGCAAAGACAGTTGAAAGTTTGTGTACGGCTAAAAACCTTGAGC